CGCCATTCTCCTGCCTCAGCCTCCTGAGTAGCTGGGACTACAGGCACCCACCACCACGCCCAGCTAATTTTTTGTATTTTTAGTAGAGATGGGGTTTGACCATGTTAGCCAGGATGGTCTTGATCTCCTGACCTTGTGATCCACCTGCCTCAGCCTCCCAAAGTGCTGGTATTACAGGCGTGAGCCACCACACCTGGCCAGTGCGTTTTTACAGAGTTCTGATTGGTGCTTTTAGAATCTTTTAGCTAGACACAGAGTGCTGATTGGTGCATTTTACAATCGTCTTGTAAGATAGAAAACTTCTCCAAGTCCCCACCCAACCCAGAAGTCCAGCTGGCTTCACCTCTCACTTCCATGGGAGAACTGTCCAGACAACAGCATGACACCCTTGCAAAGGATAGAGCCTCTCATCTAAAGGCACAGAATACTGAATGTAGTCTTGAGGCATAAGTCCAATAAGTACAGGCACATGTTCATTGAGGTGAAGATGCAAGTCTCCACTCTGAAATTCTGAACTCTTTACTTTGTTCTTTGTATGAAGTTTCAGGCTGAAGACAATGAAAATCCGTGCCAGACTTGGATTGGAAGAAAGAACCAAGGCTTTGAGTCTCATCGTCTCATTTCTGTTTTGATACATGTTTTCTTAGTTTGTAAGCCAAGGAGAGGACTATAGTGAGGATTGTGGAGGGAAGTGGACCTTATTGGTCTTTAAGCTCTCACATCTTTAAAGACTGTTGGTGCTGAGAGAAAAAGTATCCTCATCTGGCAGAACTCCCATAGGGTGTGCTCCCCTTGCTGTTCTGCTTTTGTTTTGCAGAAAGCTGCCTTTTCAATGTACTCATTAGGCTTTCACTGTTTTTTCCTTTTTTCCTTTTTCATCTTTCACTGTTGATATCACAGGTGGCCATATCTTTACCAGTGCAGCTACCAAATAAGAAATCATCTTTTCCACATTCACTAGCTAGTGATAGTTGTACTACCATGAAATCAGTTTCTTCTTTACTTTTATTTAGGTTACAAGATTTCTGGAAGGTGTTAAGATCGATTTTAATTAGTCTTTGTGACTGGTTACTTCATCCAGGGGAGTAATTTCTCTTTGGAATATTAGCTCCACACCCCTGGAGAGTCTGTGCGGCTGCATCTTCGTCTGGAGTTGGTTCTGGAGTTGGTTCCTTCCGGTGGGTTCCTGGTCTCTCTTACTTCAAGAATGAAGCCACGGACCTTTGCAGTGAGTGTTACAGCTCTTAAAGGTGGCATGGACCCAAAGAGTGAGCAGCAGCAGGATTCATTGTAAAGAGTGAAAGAACACAACTTCCACAGCGTGGAAGGGGACCTGAGGGGGTGGGGCGGGGATGTGGCCAGCTTTTAGTCCCTTATTTGTCCCTGCCCATGTCCTGCTGATTGGTCCATTTTACAGAGTGCTGAGTGGTCCATTTTACAAAACTCTAGCTAGCCACAGAGCGCTGATTGGTGTGTTTTTACAGAGCACTGATTGGTGCATTTTACAAACCTCTAGCTAGCCACAGAGCCGGCCGAGGGTGCGTTTTACAATCCTAGCTACAGAGTGCTGATTGGTGCATTTTACAATCCTCTTATAAGACAGAAAAGTTCTTTAAGCCCCCACCCGACCCAGGAAGTCCAGGGGGCTTCACCTCTCACATCTATGTATTTCTTCAGCTTCATTTAACCTTTGGAGCCATTTTTTTTTCAGCAGCAGCAGCACAGCAGTAGCCACCAGCCACGAGCCCGGGTCTCCTCCAACGCTGGTGCTACTGCTGTGAAATGTTGTGTTGTTTTGAGCAGCTGTATTTGTGATACTTTGTTACACAGCAGCAGAAAAGTATGCAACATCAGTGGTGTTATTGGGTGGCAAAGTTTGGGATTGGGGTTGAAGACTCAACTGATTTAATTATAATTGGTTCTAAATTTAAAATTGCCCACACAAAAAAACCCAGAAATCAATGTGAACAACAAGCACACAAAAGCACTTCCTTCAATGTCCAGATCAAGCCTTCTTCGTCACCCCCTCCAACCTTACCTGTTTCCTCCCTAGATATTCATAGAGTAATATATTTTATCATCTAAATAGTCTTCTGTATTGCTCTCTAGTAGCTTTTTGTGTATGCCTAACTAGGCTTCAGGTTCCTTGAGGGCGAGGATTTGTTTTGTTCATTTTTGTGCCGCCCACAGTGCCTTGCACATAGAGACTCTAGTAATGTTACTTATTGACTGAAGAAGTACCAGCATGACCTGCATTTAACAACAAAAAGAGTTTTAGTTAATTAGCACCCGCTCATCAGCAAGGCCTAAACATCTGCCAGTGGAATCGGCGAAGTCTCTTCCTAAAAGTTGAAAAGCTGAGTTTATTCATCACAGATTGGGAACTTGTAGTAGGTGTGTGTGTGAGCGGGGGAGGTTTTACCAGTTAAATCAAATTACAAGAGGTTGGTGCCCAATTTTCAAGGGAGTTTGTGTAGTGATCTTTGTCTTTTTCACTGCATGATGTGACTCTTGATTATGGGATGGAAGAAATTAGCATTATGAATTTTCTCTGTGCTTATTTCCATAATTAATTGTTTGTTGACTGTTTTGAAGAAATTTAAGCAGAATTTGAGGATTTAGTTTATCAAAAAATGTAGTGAAGGGGCTAGGTAGCAAAAACTTTTTTTTTTCTTTTTTATTATACTTTAAGTTCTAGGGTACATGTGCACAACGTGCAGGTTTGTTACATATGTATACATGTGCCATGTTGGTGTGCTGCACCTATTAACTTGTCATTTACATTAGGTATATCTCCTAATGCTATCCCTCCCCCCTAGCAAAAACTTTTTGAAGAAATTCATTGACCTGCTTTCTTAGATCAAGGACTTTTTGAAATAAAAAGGCTCTCAGAGATCCAACTTGTAGCCTCCAGTGGCTTGTAATAATTTCTTGCTGATGTGGCAAGTTACCTTAAATCGTTTCTAGAACAAGACGTGAGGTATAAATGCCAATGTGACAAAATGTCTGAACAGTAGACTTGAAACTGCAGGAGGATCATAAGAACCCATTTGTTCAAGGAAGTGGAGGCAATTCATGACTAAATCTAGACGTGTGGTTTTAGGCAGATGGCAAGTGAATTCATTTATCATTGTTGATCTGCTTTGAGCTCAGTGGAATCGCCGATTGTGACGATCCGCAGAGCTAGTTGGTTGAAATGAAGTCACAACTCGGAGGAGAGTCATGAATTTTGACGAACATGAATCACCTTTAACATTTTTATGGCTGCCTTCGGAGTGCAAACCCCCGGCATGTCCCTGAGTTATTAAGCATTTGCCCTATCACTGTGGGCAGGAGTCTTCTCAATACCAAAACGATTTTGAAATTTCGGGCTATACGGTCAACATTGGAGGTGTCTCCATTCAACTGGCCCTGTGAAAGTTTCAGTCTTTTTCATCGAAGTGCCGAAATCGATGGCCGAGTCACAATGAAGACGGCTTCAATCGGAACCCTCTCGCTTCTCGTTTGGAGCAGCTGTCTTTGCGAGGCAATCTTCTGAATTGACTGGATCGGAATTGATTCGTGAGAGTCCCAACCGATCCGTGAGAGTCGTAACCATTCGTTTTTGTACGAATAAAGTTGACAAACTTTTTTAGACGCCTTTGGCGTTTATGTTTAAAACGACACCACCTGCTAAGTAACAAACAGACTCTTCTTTATCGCCGTGGCAAAAATGTATTCTCCCCGTGTGTGTGTTTGTTTGTTTTTACCCTTCCGCTACACTCTTAAGAAACTTAGCCGCTTCCGCCCGGGAGAGTGCCCTAACCGCGAGTCGGGTTGACAGGGCTGCTCGCATGCGCCGTCTCCACCGTGGTGTTTGTCGCAATGGGCGCTGCGCGGAGGGCTACATGGAATCTCGACTTTGCAGCTTGAAGTCATTTTGTTGGCGGCGCTGGTTACCGCGGCTACCTCCGCGCGGGCACTTGATTGTAACAGAAAGTAGTTCCGGCCCGTGTTGTTTCGGCCGAGGAGCCGTCGCCGCCATTTCAAGACCGTACTAGGTAGATGGCCAACTAGAGTTCCCAGGGTTCGAAGCCTGTAACTGCTGCCGCCGCTGAAGCCCTCCAGAGCATTGCTACGGCTGCTGCCCTTGTACTACTACCTCCAAATACGTTCTTGCCGGTAGTGGCGGCAGCAGGACCAATTACCTTTTTTTTTGCTCTCCCTCGAGAAGCTCCAGATGGCGTCTTCCGTGGGCAACGTGGCCGACAGCACAGGTACCGGTGTCCCGTTCTACCTTGGCAGATGCCCCCTTGGGGTCTCGCGCCGTCCTCTACCTTGTATCACTCCTTCCCTCCCTTACCTCGAACCATCCCCATTACATCAGTGACATTGCTGAGCTTCTCGTGGTAGATCGGGTTTTCCGCTGTCGTCCGCTTCCCGAACATTTCCTCCTCCTGCCTTGCTTGCTTTTTGCTCCCTTTCTTGCTTTGTTTTTATTTCGTAAATGTTGTAGCTTTCCACTCTCTCTGGGCGCTTCTATCACACGTGCGCGCTTAGAATGTCGTGGAATGGACTGCATTGGAATCCCTGCCCTTTCACTCCTTTGCAGCGGTTTTCTCCCCTAATTCCAGCTCTTCACCTCTCCTTTTTTCCCTCCGTCTCCCCCTCCAGCCTTTTCCCCTTAGCCAGATTTGGTCCTTCTCTTCCAATCTAGGGCGGGGGTGCCGTTCCGATGTAATCATATCCTCACTTTGCATCACCCGAGGACGAGCAAAAGCTCGTCGATGGTGCCACAAGTCACCTCGAGAAGAGGGGACGTTGAGCAGCACCCCGCTAGGCAGTGCCTTTCTGGTGTTCTTTCGGTTGAGCGGTCCCGGTTTAGATTGGAAATTTCCAGGGGTTTCCTTTGCCATCGCTCAATTCCACCGCTGCCCTCAGCCTGGATTTCCCACCCTGTCCTCGGGGAACCACACCCTTCCCTTCGCGAGGTTGCCAGCCCTACTGTTCACTTCCTATCCTTGGGGGAGAAACCACCCCGACGCTGCTGCTTTGGTGTTGACCACCCTGCCCGCCCAATTTTCGCTTTGTGTTACTTTCTCGATGTATTCCTCCGCCGCCGCCTCTGGGTCTGCCATCCCCATTCTTTAGCCCAGCATCTCTTTATTCACAGGGTGTAATATTTTTTTAAGTTTCCATCCCTGCTTGAAGAGTTTGTAAAGCAACTGGAGTGTAGCTGCACAAGTACAAGGCGGTTGCCCTTTTAGACAATTCAGTCGCGAGCATTTGGTACTAAAAATACGAAAACAACCAAATTATAGGAGTGTCCTTCAGCTGCCTTTCCATATTGAGTCGATTTGGGCGGAAGGGGGTGGGGAATTGGGCTGCGCTTCTGAGGTTTCCCGCGAGGTTATTTTTTGGTTGTTTCTCAGTTGAGATGTGTGGAGGGTTTTAGTTCCTGTTTCTGGAAGTTGTGGTGTAAGTAGTAGGTGAATCGTCCATAGCATCTTATCCGTAATCGTAGGGAGTGGGATTAATAATTAGTCCGTGCCCCTCTCCCCACTTCTCCACCGTGATTTTCAAAGGTTTGAGATTCTGTACTAGCTTGCCCTTTTTAATGTGTTATTGTATTTGAGGAAGCTGTCGTTTCAAGTGTTAAAAGAGATAAGCGGCATTGAAAAGTGACAAAGTAATGTGTGAAAACAAGGAGCTAGGAAGTTCTAGAAACTTAGCTAAAATGTAATTTTAGTTTCTATTAGAGAGATAACCTCTCCCAGATGTGGATGCCAGTCTCAGTGCTCTTTGTGTTGGTGGTCAGCTGTGCATTCTGTCAGGAAATTTACTTTGCTTTCCTCAGTATCCAGAGAACACTCATCAGCTCTAATGTTTGGGGAACTGGGCTCAAGTTTGAACTCGTCACCTTAACCTTGGTAGAATTAAAAAATTTGTCCATGGTTTCCCATTTCAACCAGCTAGTGAAGTGCTACGGTCGAATTCCCAGTTTAAGTATTTACAGTTGTGACAAGCAGTTTTTTTCCCCTCTTTGGGCTTTAGCTATATCCTTTAAAGATCTTGATGTATCTGGATTAAGTCAGTTGCAGCAAAGTGCTTTTATTTATTCGTTATGTTGCGCTTTATCAAATATCTTATATTTTAGCGTCCATCCCCCCTCCTCCCCAACGTTTTGACCATTGCAGTTGCAGGTAACTGCCTGGTTTATATAGGCTTGTTTGCACTGTCTTAATCCTTTAGTCAATACCAGAGCTCTTTGGAAAATGTTAGTGCTAAACCAACGTGGGTGGGATTTAGCCAATTTAGTCTCCTTGTGAGTTTGGGATGGTAGAGGAGCAGTAAAATCTTGGGT